TGGCTGCAATACACGCACACAGTTCACTGCACCCTTGTGGCCAGCTGCCTTGCTCTGCCTTGGGGCTGATTCCAGTGCCTGGCACCTGCCAACACTGGTGATGCACGGGCACAGCTCCTGGGCACACTGACAGATAAAGACAACACAAATAATTTTTAAAAGAGAGGGGGAAACACCACTGTTTTCTCAGGATCTGCTGATGGACTGTGTCTCCTTCTGTCCTGGCAGGATGCCAGAAAATCCATCTCCACCCATACTGGAGCAGACCTTTGAATGCTTACATATGTACACATGTGCGTCCCTAATATCTCTGTCACTCCTGTCTCCATATACAATAACACTCTGCAAGTTAGTGCATTTTTCACCTGAATTCTGTGCTCCTGAACCTCCTTTCCCATTGCTTGAATAAACCATCAGATTTGCACAAGCTCTATTAAACTCAGCCAGACCTACAGCACTGGACTGGCAGAACGCACTGTTGTAAATCTGTGATCATGCAAATTCTCATTGAACTCCAGCAGACTGACGGTGCCAAATTGACCACAATCAGGAATTAAGGGCAGCCACACCCAGCCCCTCTGATTACTAAGGGCCAGCTGGGACACAAGAGGATTTATTTCCTGCCACATTTCCACGCCCTTAATGCAGTGGAAAAATGGGTGAAAAACAGTGCAGAGAGCATTGTGCAGCCCAGCCCCAGAGGACACCATTAACCCACAGGTGATTTGCTCTTCATTAGAGGGAGGTTGCCTCTGCAATGATGTGGTCTCATTTCTTCACCCTAACTTCTACTTCCCTTTTCATTCAACTCCACAGAAAACTCTGACTTTAAAGAAGGCAACATCTGTGCATAGCATTTTGTCATTTTCTTTAATTTACTGTCTTTTCTAATCACTACCAATGCTGTCTTCTTCTCAATTGCTCTATTTTTTTTTTTATCTAAGCCTGTACAAGCTTTTTTTATGGTAGTGTTCTGTTCATTTCCCCATTATTTCTTAGCTAAAACTTTCCAATTATTTTGTCTTTAGTTAAAAGACTTCACTTTTTCAAATTCACCCTGGGCAACTTCATTATTTTGCTTTCCAGCTATCTATCCAGTGTCAATTATGGGACCATTTTTTGCTGTGTTACTGAAGCAATGATAGTCCAGTTCTCTAACAGAGTGATAACAGCATTTCACTCACAATTTTATTTTTTTTTAATTGCTCATGGATTTCAATCTACTTTGTGAAATTCATTTCTATTTTAAACACGATGAGGTAGAAATGTGATGAGCTTTTAAATGAGTGGAGGCTGGGAATACAGACATCATTGCCCCTCTGTTGGCTTTGACCTCATTTTGCTGGCAACTAGAGCTATCCACTACAAAAAGGATTCAAAACAAATGGCTGATTTTTGTTGATAAATGTGCCCAATTAGCAATATTTTGGAGGCACTTGACACCACTGAATCAAAGAAGTGACCTTGATATCAGAATATTGTACCTCATTACACTGAGAGGGATAATCAGAATGAGCACCCATTTTATGAATTATTATTTCTCATATTATTTTTTATCTTTAAAATGTATAAGTTGCCATTAGAAGCACACCTTAACCAAAATAACAGCTTTGAATATTTTGGAGAAACTTAGGTCTTGAGCTGGAAACAATATTTGTGTGTAATAATTGTATATATGATTTTTAAATAATACTATATTATACTTCATATAATACTGTATGGTTTTTCATATAATTCTTCATATAATACTTTTTCATACAATACTGTAAGTTTTTCATCTAATACTATAATATTATATTTTTATAATATATATTATATTAATTATATATAGTTTTCATATAATTCTTCACATAATACTTTTTCATATAATACTGTATGTATTTCATATAATACTATATTATATTTTTACAATATATATAATATATAAATTATATATAATTTTCATATAATGCTATAGTGTACTTAATATAATACTGTATGTTTTTCATATAAAACTTCATATAATACTTTTTTCATATAATAATGTATGTTTTTTCATAGAATACCATAATATTATATTTTTATAATATATATTATAATATATTATATATAATTTTCATATAATACTATAATATTATACTTCATATAGTACTGTAGGTTTTCTCTCATATAATACACCATATAATACTTTTTCATATGATACTGCATGTTTTTTCATATACTATATTATTATACTTCACTATAACACTAAAAATGTGTTTTTTCATATAATACTTCATATAATGCTTTTTTCATATAATACTGTAAGTTTTTCATATATTACTATATTATATTTTTATAATATATATTATAATATATTAATTATATATAATTTTCATATAATACTATAATATTATACTTCATATAATACTGTAGGTTTTTTCATATAATACTTTTTCATATAATACTGTATATTTTTTCATATAATACTGTTTTTTCATATAATACTTGGGGTGTTTTATCTTTTGAAGGATATACCACCAACTCCAGAAACTCTATATTATAAATACTATACTAAGGTAGCATGAAGTTTTCACAGTTTGTCTGAGATCCTTTTTAGAACAAATGGCATTCAGAAGATATTTTACCCCATGGCAAAAAGGAAAGCAAGATATGGGAACTGCATTTGCATTTTGGTCCCTGTGACACTGTTGTGATGGAAAACGAGCAGAAGTGTGGGGCTCAGCTTTCCCTGACGGCTGCAGCAGCACTGCCTGCTCCTGTTCCTCTGGCAGGGATGTCACAGCCGGCTCAGAATGTGCAGGAACCCCATCTGCTGTCAATAAACCCGCAAAGGGCACCTTTATTTGAAGCTGTTAGAGGTTTGGATTTCTACAGAAAACATAAATATCTCCATGTCCTTCAGGAGTGCATCCTGTTTCAGATGATCAGGGTGAGGCTGCTGAGGGCCTGGCACAGGTTGCCCAGAAAACTGTGGATGTTCCTGTGTGATGGTGTTCACAGGGGTCCCAGGATGAGGGAAGAGACAAGGATCTGACTCCATGTTTCAGAAGGCTGATTTATTATTTTATGATATATATTACATTAAAACTATATTGAAAGAATAGAAGAAAGGATTTCATCAGAAGGTCAGCTAAGAATAGAAAAGAATGATAACAAAGGTTTGTGTCTCGGACAGAGAGTCTGAGCCAGCTGACTGTGATTGGCCATTAATTAGAAACAACCCCATGAGCCCAATCCCAGATGCACCTGTTGCATTCCACAGCAGCAGATAACCATTGTTTACATTGTGTTCCTGAGGCCTCCCAGCTTCTCAGGAGGAAAAATCCTAAGGAAAGGATTTTCCATAAAGGATGTCTGTGACATTCCATGGCTGGAAGTTCTCAAGGCCAGGCTGGATGGGGCTTGGAGGAACCTGGTCTAGGGGTAGGTGTCCCTGCCCATGGCAGTGGGGTTGGAAAGAGATCAGCTTTAGGTGCCTTCCAACTTCCAAACTATTCTATGATAATTAGAAAGCATCAGGCAGTGTGTTAATGAAATTCCAGCAGAGTATGACCCAGCCTTTCCTGTCTCACACCGTTTCTTCTGGAGCAGCTCTCTGTGAAATGGTTCATGGCATGAATCCACAACATTTCAGTCTTGTTAGTAGGGACAGGCTTCTTTTCCCCCCTCCCCACCCCAACTCACATTCAATGTCTTGCAGGGTGTTTTGTAGCTCTGTGAAATAAATGTTTTGCTGGCATGTTTCATAGTAACATACAAGTATAGCTTTTGTGCTTCCTACAAGCCACCACTATTAATTTACATCAGGAAAATAATCTGTTTCATAAATATACAGTAAGAGAAAGTCATTGCTCAAAGTCACTGCATCCTGAGTAGTCATAAGAGCTACCTAACAGAGAGCTCTTTAGAAAATAAGGAATTTGTTGTAAGTTTTCTTTTCCTTTTGATTCTAGTGTCTAATGAAATAATGGTAAATTTTCTTTATGTGTAGAAACTGGTGATAGAGTCAGACATTCCTGACAAATTATGTTTAGCCAGGACAATGTGCTGTTTTAAATGTGAGAGGGATACAAAGAACAGCTCTCTGCTCATGGCTGCAGTGCATTGCTGCAGCCAGACCATCAACCCAAGAAGGGGTTCTTCATTCCCTTCTGAGTGTTTATGAAGATATAAATATATGTATTTATACATCTTTTTCCATGTTCAGAGTCTTATGAATGTATTGAAGCTTTCCAAAAGTCTTTCTGCTGCTGATAATGAGCTACTTTTCTCTCCCTTTCATTACAAACCAGTTTGCAAGAAGATTTAGCTCAGAATCTACCCAAGTTGCTCTCTTATTATTCTAAATGGAGATAACCAGCTCACACTAAAATTATCTTTCACTGAGAAACTTGGAATAATTTTGGAGAGAGTTGAAGACTGTGTCATTACTCATATCTGGAGGAGTTTGTATTTGAATATTGCCAATTAAAGGTGCCCTTAGAAATAGCTGAAAGAGGAATGACTCCTGAGGCTTGTGTTGCTTTCTAATTATATCTTGCTCAGAACTCCCAGTCCCACAGCACCCAGCACTAACAGGAGTTAGAAATGGCATACACTGCTTAGAGGACTTTCACCAAACAATTTTTCTGGCTTGCACTGAATTTCTGGTGATTCCATAAATTTGGCTATTTTATCAATGCTTCCAGCATTTTGTGTAGAAAACAGCTTTTGTAAAATTATACTGGTATTTCTGTCAGAAAGGTTTTCTGCTCCAAAACCAATGCTTCACCACTTTTTAATATCATTCAGTGGTTTCTAATCATCTCTCTTTAATTGTAGTTTTAGCTTTCTGAGCTCTCTTTTAGGCCTTTTTTACTTAGTCACACTTATTCTGTTATTATTAAGTAATTCCTGGCTCCTAGTAAGTTTTGCTGATCTTTGAATAAACACAAAAGTTTCAATAGCAACTTTATTGATGCAAGAATGGTATAAAAAGAGAACCAGTTAATTTTGTATTGGAGACAGGATGGTTTGACTGAATATTCCATATATCAAAACATTCTTGTTATATCTGAAGGGTATCCCAATCCCTAGGAAAATTCCTCTGGATTCCTATCCAGGCAGGAGAGGAGATGGGAGTTTGTGTTGCTGGAGTTGTCATCACCAGTTCTCATCCTCTGGGATCTCTTAGGAGGCATTGGAGGCCAGGGCAGCCTTTGAGGTGCTCTCAGAGCATGGCAAAGGAGGGAACTGCTGGATCCACTCTCCTGCACATCCCTCTGTTCCAGCAGCTGGTGCTTGCTTAATAGCAGAAAAATATGCTTTGAATGTTCCCACTTCAGTCAGTGAGTACATTTAAATGGAGGAGAGTTCCACTCTGCTTCTTCAGTGAATGCTCTTCCCTTCGCATGTCTGAGTAGCTACAAGTTCCCTACTCACTGAATTTGCTTTTCCATGTGTCTTCCACCACAGTTATTTCCTTTGCCTTGGCAATGTTATGGCATTTTGTTTGAGGAGCTTGGTTTAGGCCTCAGCTCCTGCAGCTTGAAATATCAACACAGACATAGGCCAGAGTCCCAAAGGAGAACCTAGGATTACCAAAACATTAAATTTCCATAAGATTATAGCTCTATAACCAGAGTACATGGGTCACATCTTCTCCTTGGCTCTCTCTGTTGCATAAACACAACCCTGTAAGGAACATTGTATGTTTAAGGTGATTTTTTTTGTCTTCTCATTTAATTTTCAGCCTACACGGTGTCTGTGCAGACATAGGAAGAGCCGCACTGCTGAGCCCCAGCAGGAGAGGGGCTGTTGGTCAGTCAATGGGACAATTCAAAATTACATTCATTCGTGGATGCTTGTTCTTAAACCAACAGGTACCTGCAGTATTTCAGGTATTTCCACCCAGCACAGACTCCTCACACATACAAATTTCATCTGGCTGGAGGCTTTGCTGTGAAGGCAGCACAACTGCATGGAAGGTCCAGCAGCATTCCAGGCTGACAAGCAGGATGCTGGGAGCTGAACATAACTTCTGATCTGCTGCTGACCAGGTTGGTGCTCACTCTCAGCTCCATTGCTTCTTCCTTCCACAAGTTCTCCTGGGTACTTCATTACTGAGTTCTAGGGAAAAGAATAAAAAAAAAGGCATGCCAGAGAAAAGCAGAACATTTATAATTTAAGAATAAATAATAAAGATGCTGGAGGGTAAAAAAAGCATGAAAGTTATTAACTATGGTGGTAATATCTATTTTAAATGGTAATGAAAAGCAGCCTGCTCTGAAAGAAAACTATTAAATAAAGGCTCAAATAACATTTTCAATCAGACCAACACCACTGCTATTACCTAACCTGCCCAGAGTTTACCTGAGGACCTGGTATTTTACATTCTGGCAGACTCAAAGTTCATGGACAACATTTGATGCTCTGCTCTCATCATTGGTTTTGACAGTCACACCAGAATAAAATTTTTCTGAAAGGATGAGCAAACCCATTAAACACAGAGTGGGGACTGAAACTGGGAGTTGATGGGGTTTTATAAAACGGTTCTGTACTGGTTGCAGTTGTTCTAACACTGTTAGAAGGAGCAGGATCTGGTCTTTTCCCCTGGATTTTGTTGCAGGGCAACACCAAGTATGGGTTTATTCATCCTCCAAGAGGCATCAAAGAAGTGCAGCACCACTATTTGCTGCCTTTATTGTGGTTTTATTTATTTATTTTTTGTGCCTCTAATCTTACACACATGGTTGGTGTGGGATGGTGCTTTGTCCCATTCCTGTCCTGTGCTGTCCCAGTCCTTCGCTGTGTGGGACAATCCTGGGGGTTTGCTGGTTTTTGTGGTCTCCTTCACGTTTTTCAACAGGTTAAAGCCAAATGGAAGCATCTTTAAGTGTGACACAAAGGAGAGTTACTGCTGGGGACAGGGTCAAACACATGATTATAAAACCACAAAACTTATTTTACACCATGGTTATTAATTTCAGAAGTCACAGACATGTTCACTATCTCTCCAGCTGCTCCCATCCATCACTTCCATTAGGCCATCCTTTCCAGCCATCCAACACTATTTTAACTGTATTTTCAACTGCAATATGATGTGAAAGTAAATGCCTGACTTTTTCCTAAAAAAAAAAATAAGGGCAGGAACAACAGATAGGAATTAATACTTATAATCTTAGTGAGAATTATTTTTCCCAACCATCTACCTCCTTAACCATGCTCTGTTTAACAAAATGTGCTTCCTAAACTTCATGGCCTGCTGTGTCCTAAGAACACAAGGTGTACAGGTGTCATAGGTGGCTGTATTTTGAGCAGGGGAGGAATGGCAGATATCTGCCATCTATGCAATGCTACATGCAAGGCTCTTCTCTGTAGCGCAGAATTCAAACCACATTTTTCAACCAGAAGGAAGAAAGTGAAACCTTGCTGTGTTCAGACCTTCTTGTGTTTAGCCAGGGTTTAGCAGATACATTGGAGATGATTCAGTTTCAGTGGAACTGTGCAGGGATGCAGAGCAAAGAGGAGCCCTCTTCACTGCCTCAAGGCAGAAATGGATGCAGCAGTGAGAATAAAGGTCTGTCTGGAAAGGACAAAATTGTTTGATCAGATCAAAAACATTTTTCAGGAGAAAACTCAGAAACCAGAGAACAAAAATAAAAACTCCTTTTTTAATCATCCAAAATGAGCTGAGTTCAGCTTGGCCTTTAAAAGGAAGGAGTAAGTAGCTAACTCTGCAACCAAGACACGAGGTATGATTCTTCACACCTTCAGTTAACCACAGCATGTTCATTTGTGTCAGCTGGAACACAAACAGGCCTCCAGCCTACAAACTGCAAATCCCAGAAGGAGCTGCTGCTTAAGCTGGTTTAGTGTAGGGGGATACAGTATGGGTGAATGAAGGTAGTATAGAATAGAATCTTTTTCCGTAAAGAGTTGCAGCTGGACCAAGTACTAAAGATTAGGAGCAGGCTGATGTTAACAGGCCACACCTGTAGCCAGTAAGAACAGTGGCATGAAAGAGTGGATTGGTAAAAACTGGAGTCAGTGCCTAGAGGAGCAGCTGCCTACAAGAAACACCAAGGAGGTATGAAACTCTAATGATATGGAACCCTTGCAATGTACTGACAATAGAACTCTTGTACTATAATGACAACAGTTTAGGGCTGAATTAATTAATTGTAGATGGTAAATACCTAATGAAGCAATGCAATGGTTTAAATCACATTTAAAGTCACACCTGCGCTGGTGTTGGGCAGATGGGAGTGTACACCAACTCAGTGATCCTGGATTTGCATCCTCAGTGTCCTGGGTTGACTTCATGATGCTTTTATCCCCAGTCCTCTGTTCTGTTTATGCTGAATAATAAGTTTTGCACCTTTAAGCCTTGTTCCAGAGAGTGAAGGGGGAGAGAAGAAGCAGCAGTTTGTTTTCAGACACTGCACTCACTGCTCCACATTCCCGCTCCTGGGCTGTGTTGTCTGTGGATGGACAGACAGCAGGACAGAGCTCTCCTTTGCTTTTAGTTAGTTTAGCTAGCTGAGGCAAAGAAGTTCCCTGGACTGTGGGGTTTTTTCCCTTTTCTTTGGCCCTGTTTAACCTGCTCTGGCCTGAATGCCCAGGGCAGCACCGGCAGCTGCACCTGAGGCCCACCAGGCCGGGCCTGGCCCGCGACATTTCCAGCACTGAGGGACTGAGCAGAGCCTGAGGGAGCTGAGCTGCACCCCGGAGAGGGACTTTCTCAGTCTGTCATCTCTCTTGGAGCAACAAGGGGTTTTAGTGTTTGGTATTGTTTAGGTTTTATTGTTTAATAAACAGGTTTTTTTCACTTTTCTCCAAGGAGGTAGTTTCTCCCAGACTAGCTGGGAGAGGGGCCAAATGAATCTGCTTTCCTAGAGGAGCCCCTTTGGGGGTTCTCCCCAAAATTTGCCCTGAACCAGGACACTCAGCCATGAGGATAACCTGACTCTTCAGATGATGGCATACTCTACTTGCCAAGCCTCCAGTGAAATCCTGCTGCACAGTAGCAAAATGACATCCCACTGAGAGCACAGCTGCTCACAGAAACAAGGTTTGGTTCTTGTCCAATAAATAGATTCTACCTTCCACTTGCCCTCTATTTCCTTCACAACTTCCTTCTTTCTGCACTGTTCTCCAGCTTTTTTCCTTGGAAACCAAGCTCCTCCACCTCCTCTTCTACTATGGGCCAGCACATTCCTGCAGTGGGAACAGGGGCCTAGATATGAAAAATAATTCCCCCAAAGGAGGGAGTTACCTGCAGGTGCTGTGCTAATGAAGGGCTGGGGCTGACAGTATTGTAATGCTTAAATAAAAGCAGAAAAGGCATAGAACCATGTGCCATGGGGAGCTGGGTCGCTTTATAGAAATAAAGGAGGGGATGAATAGGTGAGACAGTCTCTCATCACTAGACATGAGCTCACCTATAGGCCTTCCTTGTGCCTCCCAGCAATGACACTGGCTTTCTTTCATAGCAATTCGTGCATTTCAAAGGGCCAACAGCATAAAAGGATTCCAAAAATAGGTTAAAGCCTGAAACCAAAAAGTAGCTGTTTCATTAGCAACAAGAGAGGCAGAAGGGGAGAGAATTGTAGGACAGAGCTCCCTAAGTGTGCCAAATGACTTGCATTTCATGTATTTTATGCTATCTAACATTCTTCTGGAATCAGGACACATTTTAGATGTACAGTAACTGATATAGCTAAAAACCCACTGTGTGTGCTCTTTTCTCCTTACACCAAGAAGGATTACTGAGAATCAGAGTCCTGGGACATGAAACATAGCAGCACTCCCTGTTATAGGAGATCCTACAGGATCCTCTTGCACTGGAACAGGAAGCTTGCATCACTGCTGTGCTCTGATGTAACAGCTGGACAAAGTATCAGTGTCACAAGGTGGATCCTCTGCATCCTACACATCCCTGGACTTCTCCCATAGAGAAGAAATCCTATCCGTGAAGTTCAACACTCACCCTTTTTCCAAAGCCTCTGCAATTCATCACAGGCCAAGTTCATCTGCTTTGAATTAAATTATCATCTATCATCTTGGGATGACAGCCTGGAAACAAAATGCAAATGGTGAGAGAACGAAGAGTGACTCAGTGTCCTCAGTCCAGGCAGGATTCACTGGGCTAGGTGGCAAGAGAGGATACAGAACCCCATCCTCTGTGTGTAAGTGCACAGATATTCCAGTTTAGAACAGGTACTGGACAGGTTTATACTGGACAGGTACTCAGACTGAGTTTAGGGATGGCAGATCTCAGAGCTCATGACACCATTAGACCTGTGCCAGAGAGCTTCATTTCAGCAAAGGGTAAGTGGCACTGTCTTATTTTCTGAAAAATCCCTTCTCCAGGATTTCTTCTGGGAAGCCGAGAAGCCTCAGAGAAAACAAGAAAACAATATTCTCTCACTTGCTTCTCCCTTGTTTTGCTGCTTTGGAATGTGGTTGGATTTTTTTATCCAACATGTGAAATGTTTTTATTTAATGACCAATCACCATCCAGCTGTGTGATACTCTGGAAGCAGTCCCAAGCTTTCATTATCATTCTTTATAACCTTCTGTCTATATACTTTTCCTATTCTTTAGTATAGTACTCTTTATTATAATGTAAGTGCATAAAATAATAAATTAGCCTTCTAAGAACATGGAATCAGATTCTCAATCCCTCCTTTGTCCTGGGGACACCAAAAATACCAGAGGTAGGGAAGGTCAGCAGCCTCAGAGGAGTTACTGAGAATTGCCAGGTCTGGCTGCAGCAAGAGCAGCCCAGACACAGAGCCATAAGGAAAAGGAGGTCTGGGACAGGGCAAGGGAGGGGAAGGAATTTGCCCATAAAACAGCAGATATTGAGAGGGAAGGCAACTGCAAGTCCTTTTCTTTTTCAGGCTAGATGGAGCTTGTACAGATGGAGACCAAACTGCTCCTAGACAAGGACCAATGGTACTTGTGACAGTACAAAACGACCACAGCCAATTCAAGTGTTCAGCTGCCAAAGTCATACCTGAAAATATGGTGCTGTCTGGGCAAAGAAAGCAGAAATGCTTTCTGCACTGCCTCTCTCACTGTTTGCCTCAATTTCAGCCTTGGAAGACACCCAGTGCTTTAAAGACCTAGGCAGATGGGGTAGAACTGATCCAAATAAATCAATTAAGAGGTCCGCATCTGAGCTGCTTGGATTAGACTCTCTCCTGAATTGTTAATGGACATCATGCAATTCATCATGCACTAAAATAGAGAGCTAAAACAGGACAGGTGACTCATGCCTAAAAATAGATAATGACTTCCATGAACTGATAAGGGAAGCCTGGAGTGCCCAGTTCAGCTGCAAGTGCATATAGAGCACAGGTGTCTGAGGTGGAGAGGAGTGAATCCCATCCCAGGTTGTTGCCAGTAGCAGGAATGACTCCTTTTCCAGCAGTGCCTGCAGATCCACTGGGACAAACCCCTGGCTGCCTCCCCTGCCTGAGCACAAAGCCCAGGAACATGACAGGGCTGAGACACACAGCACAGCTCCTGCCTCTTTAAGGTACCTGTGGGAACCCAAGAAATTCCTCTGGCTGCCCTGGAGGACTCGAGACAGAGAGCTCAGAGACCTTGGCACAGAGTCACAAACACCTGTGCCTTTGATTTTAGCCCTTAGAAAAAACAATTGCCAACCTTATATGAAGATTCACAAGCCACGAAAGTTTAAGTAGAATGATAGTTTGTTACAAGATAGAAAAGGAGAATTTTGAGTTTTTAAAATGAGAGTTCAGAAGCCAAGATAGAGAGATTTAGGTGTGCAATCCCCTGCTAGCAGGCAGAGGGAGCAGCTGTTTAAACTCACTGTTTATGCACCCAAAGCACCTGTGGGCACGATCACAGATCCACTTTTAAGTACCAGAATATAAAGGATTTAGTCAAAGATATTCTGGAGCCACCAATAACATAACATTGCAAAAATGTGAGCCTTTTGGGTGACTATCCCAGTGAGTGCTGTGCAGATTCTTGGTAATTAGTCCTACAAACACCACCATTAAACTTTAAACTAATATTAAGAAAATGTGCAGCTGAGCATGCTAATAACAACACCAGCCAGTTTGTTATACTGAATGTCTCCATAAAGATATTCTTTATAACACCTTTGGCACAACTGGGACCTTGCATAATTAAATTTGATTTCACTTTCTTACAACTCTAAGCATAACTGGAGATTTCTAATTAGCTACAATTATTCTTTTAGAAATGTGTTTCTGTTGAGTATAATCTTGTATTCTTCTAGCCAAATGCCATGTGTATTTATTATTATTATTATTATCTCCTACTGACAGCTTTTTAACTGAGACACTTTGACCGAGATAAATAACTAAATGCCTCCCAACCACAATACTTTGTGTGGCATCTGCTTTGGGTGATAAAATAATTGACTAAGTGAAAAATAGCAATTTATGGAGATAAGATAATTTTCCATTCTACTATTTTAAGTAGAGATAAAAACGCAGGCTGATTATCTTCTAAATCTAACATTTCCACGCCCCACCCTACCAAAAGCTGCTGCTAAAGTGTCCTCATTAATGAGACTTCATCCCCTAATTGTGTTTCCCTTCTGTCCAAAACAGCAGACAAGTAGGCTGCAGTTTCAATGTCCACAATGCCTGCCTGGCTGGCGTGCCCAGAGCATTCCTCATGGCATTCAGTGGGAGATGCAGCACCAGAAACACCAAGAAACCCAGCCCATCCCCAGTCAGATGTGTCCCAGCAAAGGGCCAGCCCTGCTGGTCCCTCTTGGTGCAGTAACCCACACACCTGTGTGCTACCTGTGCTCTGAAGCCATGAGCTGCCAATTCTAAGAGCAATTAAGCAAAAAATGCCTGTTTTCCTGCACAGTTGTGCCCCAAGCCGAAAAAGCCCAGATGTGTTCTCTCACAGAGTTCATTCAAGCAAGAGGGAGAGGTGGAATTACCAGCTAAAATGGAAACAGACAAAAAGTGATAAATTGGAGAACAAAGCAGCGGAACTTATTTACTTCTTGAGAAATTAATG